TCTCTGCCTAGACCCCACCAATCGAAATTCCTTGACGGGTGGGGTCTGCAATCTGCCCCTTTTATTTATTTATTTATTTATTTATTAATTTATTATTCTATGTATTTATGAATGTTCAGAGGACACTTGAAAAACCATTCATTGTTCAAATGTTTGATCAACGGCATCTTATTTTATCAAACGCAGTGACAGCTGAGCTAAATCATCAAAGGTATAGTTGAAATATGAACAAAATGCAAGTCAAGAATCATTGGGAGAAGCTTGTAATGGTAATTACTTGAGGAATATTTGTAATTACTTCCAGCACTGTATTTAACTTGAAAGATATTTACTTCCAATATTTTTTATTGACTATATTCCAAGAGGAGAAGTCACTCACCTATATTTAAAGTTGGCTTGCCCTTCAAAACCAACTTCAAACATTCTGGCTTGTTATAAATACTGCAATAGTGTAGAACTGTATTCCCCAAAGCTGTTTGCTTATCCAGGTTTCCACTAAAAATAAAGTAAAAAAAAGTCCTATATTAGCTTCCACACCTAATCATTTATATTTGGGATATGCAGTACATATCCATGACTTCAATTTATTCTGTAAAAAGCTTGTTGTATGTGTGAATCACAGAGTCCACAATGACTATGAGCAGTAATTTTTCTGGCCTTTTATGAATCCAGTCTGGGTTACTCTAAAAAAACATAACAATCCTGTTTCCATCTCTTGACTATAATATCTTTCTTCTAGATGGAATACTATGGTAGAGAATCTTCTTCCCAGCAAATGTGGTAGACATACATACATTTCTAATTTCTCCCACAAATACAATAAGGAAGTTGTGGTTGTTGCTTGAAAAGAAGGTTAAGACCCTTGCCATGGTGGCAGAAGGATGAGTCAACATTTTTGATGGCTACAAGGAACCTGAAGATCTGGAGCTATATCAGAGCTAGAAGCATTGTGGAAAGCATGACATGCTGGAGAAAGTGTGAAGTAAATGAAGGCAAAATAAATATATAAAATCCAATATACACAGTAGAGATCTGAAGGATCGATGATTGACTCCCCCCCCCAAAAAAAATTAGTTTAGGCTTGGTGCCCAATAAAAAATTCATATAAGGTCAAAGTACATGATATGTTAAACATGCTTTTCAAAACACTGTTCGTTTTCTTTTAGCCATGAAAAGCCTACCATTTCCAACCCTCCAACAATCCTCTCCTACCTGCTATCTGTACCTGAAGATGCTGTTTAATGATAGTAGCACCTTCTGGAACAAATGGCAGATGGAGAGAATTTCCAGAGAAGAAACCGGATGGGCTGGAAACAACCCTCTTGGGATGTTGGATTGGTTGAGCTGTAAGCAGGTGTTATGGTACCATAATGGTATGTGGGAATGACCTTGGAAGACAGTGGGAAGAGCCACAGCCACGGGAAAAGTCAGATAAAATATAAATTAGTTCATCTGGCCCTGCTTCCTACCTGGACTACCTTGCAAGGCTGACAGGTACCCTCTGACTCCTTGGGGACAGAGGCTGAAGGCCTGATCCAAGCTGTCAATCTTGGGAGCCCAGAGGCTATCCATCACATGAAGCAGACCAGGGAAACAATGAATAGGCAAAGGTGAGGGCAGGCTCAGTAACAAAGGGCTAGATCCTGACAGAGCATCTAGTCCCAGGATGTGCCAACAACTCTGAAGGATAGAACCAAGGCAACCTGCTTAGTTACTTGGGGTAGTAACTAAGACAGCACCCCTAACTGAGCCGCACCTGCAACTGGGGCTATTTTGGAGCATCCACCTAGGACCTTGTGCTCCACTGGAAACTACATTGCAAAGGTGGACCTGCATTCCTGGTTCCTCGCTTTGCTCTTAGACTCTAGGCCTTACAGCTCAGATCGGCTTGTGAAACTTTGGGGCATTCATTCATTCATTCATTCATTCATTCATTCATTCATTCATTCATTCATTC